GTGACGGAGCAGATCGGGACTTTCAGGATATTCATATATATGTTTTGGACTGTATAACTATAACTTGCGCTTCCGCTTGACTTTTGATGACTTATGATGATGTTTTGATATGTTTTGACGAACTCATCGTATTTTGACGAACTTTTCAGAAAACACAGTTTTTCAGTAACCGGACGTTTTTATTAAATTAAAACAACGGTTTTTCTAAGTTAAGTAAGGATTTTTCACGGTAGCACCCCAAATCAGTTTCGCAAAGTAAAAAGGTTTTATTTTTCAAAGACTTTGCGATTAATTGCGCAACTCTGATTTATCTAGTAAGGTGGGGTGTTACAAATGCTACCCTCGGCGGCCATGGAATATGCAGGAACGGCCGAAAAGATTAGGGTTTGCCAAAGAGTTTGGTTGATACCATGTGATAATCAAAGAGATCTTATTCTCACTTGCGTAAACTGAATACATGAGTACGGATATATAGAGTACAAAACCTAATAGAAGGAAACAAAATAAACTAGAGATATGCAAAGATTTGAGTATATCATAACAAGTCTAATAGATGTGCCCAAGTCTAAGGTGCCAAAGATATGCTTGATTCATACTCGAAGATTCCTTCCTCTTATTAGATTTAGTCGTGACATTATTCAATTCAGTTTGTTGCAGTGTGGGAGAGTTTGGTTTGAGAACATATAAATTGCCAACTAATGAATCAGAACAAATGAAACGCTTTCCATAACGAATAACAACCATGTCATCAAACGTAAACGAAAATCCATCTGAAACAAGTTTAGAAACTGAAACAAGATTCTTTCTAAAACTAGTAACATAAAGGCAATGTCTCAAAACCAAAATACTACTATAAAAAGATAAAGTAACGTCTCCCACTGCAACAACTGCCACTTACGTAGAATCGCCTATGTAGATGGTGATCTCTCCCTCCTTAAGCCGTCTGGTTTCCTGGAACCCCTGCAATGAATTGCAGACATGATCAGTGGCTCCAGTATCTACACACCAGGTTCTGGTAGATACAACTGCTAAACATGTTTCTACGACATTAACGAGAGAGTTACCTTTCTTGAGGAGAGGGCAGTCGACCTTCTAGTGTCCTGACTTGTTGCACTTATGGCATCTACCTTTCGGCTTCTTTGCCACAGACTGAGGGGGCGGTCGCTGTACCACCGGGGCATCCTGCACCTTTGCCTTTCCTGCAGACTTCTTTCTCTTCCTGCCCTTGTGAGGCCTGGAAGGTCCAGCCTGCTCGGCAACCAGTGCGTGAGGCGCCTGAGTGAATAAGGCCTCCGCCGACTGAAGCTCTGCTAACGATTCTGGAAGAGCCATATGCATCTTGTGCATGTTGTAGTTCAAGTGGAACTGATCAAAACTCTTCGGCAGAGATTGGAGCATGATATCAACCTGGGTTTCCCCGTCGATAAAACCTCCCATAACCTCAAGCTCATTGAGTAGCGCCATAACTTTGAGAGCATGCTCCCTTACAGGTGTACCCTCTGCCATGCGTGTAGTCATCAGAGAACTCATGGCCTCTTGCCTAGCAGCCCTAGACTGGTGTTCAAACAGATTCCTGAGATTGAGAAGTATATCTGCCGCAGTGTTCATAGACTGATGCTGATGTTGAAGAACATTTGACATAGATGCCAGAATGTAACACTTCGCCACCTCATCAGCCTTTTTCCACCGGGCATACTCCCCTTTCTCCTGCTCAGGAGCATCAGCCGTGGGCTCTACCGAGCAAGCCTCAGTAATCGCAAACTTATAACCCTCAGAAGTCAACACAATGTCTAAGTTCCTCTTCCAATCAATGTAATTAGGACTAGTAAGTTGATTTTCTTTTATAATGACATATAACGGATTGAACGACATGATGAATATCTGAGAAACACGAAAATAATTTTACAGATTAAACACATTTAAATTTAACTGCTAATATTGATATCCTCAAAACAATATTAACTTAAATTCACCGACATCTCAAAACACCGAGAGTTAATGCATGATGCGAGAACAACTCTACACAACTCAACATTCGCAAGAGAAGGGCTTTAAAAGGCCCATTAATTTCCATAAGTCAAAACCAAATTCATGACGAACGAAATTAATAGTCGGTCTCCAGTTGGCCATGCAATAAATTCAGGGACCCCGAGGGGAGTTATAAATAAATCGCATTCTAAGTGAATCCCATTTCTCGATCCTGGGTTCATACGAATTCGATTATACGTCATCCGAGGGGAAGCCCGTACTCTCTCATAAGACTCTCTCTAATTGTCTAACTAGAAATTCGTCCTGGTAATTTTCTACAATTAATTTTAGCGATGTCACCCGAGGGGAGCCCATACCCGCATTTAATTGATTTACTGAAAAATTAGAAATGAAGGCCTTAGGAATTTTACAACTAACTTTAATTTAAAATCCCTTCTCAAACTTAGTATAATTTAAATGAGGATTTTTACTTATTTAAATATTTATGCAATTCTAAATTAATCCTATGTAAATGCAATAATTAATTAACATGCATAATTAAATATGTAATTCTAAATTAATCTCATGCAAGTAGAATAATTAATTAACATGCATAAATAAATAAATAAATAAATAAATAATGGCATAATGAATTTAAATAAATAAATAAATAAATTCACTATTATGGCCATTAAATATTGTGTTCCAATAAACAAGAAAACCTTGTATATTCTTTCCGTGTTCAACTGGAACTCCCACTGCAGCAGAATCCTTGTAGATCTTGTATTGCTTGGACACCAAGTAAACCTCTCCACTGCCGCCAGCCCGC